CACACACACACACACACACATACACAAACACGCACACACAACAGGCACCAAGACAAGCATATATCCACGCAAATTCTAAAACTTGTTTGTCTTTTAAGTCACCCTCTCTGCTCTACAGGGATGAGATAATTGATTGTTTCAAATGCGATATCCCTCTCGACTAATTCCGCTTATTAAGATCCGACGCTCGTCCTCGCTCCAAGCTCCTACATTCGAAGCAATGACGGTCGGCGACATGAATCTCTTCGAGGTTGGTTCCAAGTGTTTAATGACCACAAACCGCTCATTTGTGGTTTCTACTAGATAGCTGTAGCAAGTAGAAAAGAATCTAGTAAATTATCTTTGCTAACTGGTCGTTTTTTTGGTAATGAGATGATTCAGGTAATATAAATGGAAGGAATAGTTAATGCCTAGAATTGTCTCAATATTTAAACCCAGTGATTTAGCGTCTTTCTCGTTTTTTTATTTCGGTTGGAGATGAAAACTTTGAAGTCGGTTCGTTTCATCATTTCCACGGCCACTTTATGACAAAAACCATACCAGCTAAATGGTCAAAAGCGAGAGAATTCAGCAAAGAACGCTGTAAACCATTGGAGTTCTGTAACGACAGAACGAAGTCCTCTATAGCAAAGTGGGACAAATTGCAATTAGATTTCGAATCTGTTTTTGAATAACCTCTATTTGAGCTCATAATTGGCTTAAATAATTGCGCCGATAAAAGATCACCAAAAACTCTTTATTTTTGTTTGTATTACTTTTTTGTGGTTATATGGAACAATCTTCCAGGTCCCTGTACAGTCCGCCCCCTCGAACCTCTACCGCTCTCATCCGAATAGATCACAGTTTAACGAAAACACTAGAATTAACTCGTCAGTTTTCCTTCCTCTTTTGTTTTCTTTTTTTAAACTGTGGGTTGTTTTTCTGCAAATAAGCAGCATTTACTGCTGGAGATTTAGGGTATGTTTGGGATATTGTCGAATTGAAGTTGCTTCTTGTATCATCGGCATGTTGAGCGTCGCCATTTCGGTTATAAGTGAGTTTTGTATCTAAAAAGAGTCTAGGAACGAATTCGTTAAAAAAACATGGATATACTTTTCAGAGCAAGCTTTCTATTCCTAGGCACTACTTTGCCGCTCAAGTCCATATGCAGTACATTATATGTAGTGTAGCATTTTAATGTATTAAATTGTATGTTACACATGGCCTCGCAACGGTTTACCGTCTTATCGTGGCTGGGAGGGGTTTCTGTGTGTCGGACTGCGATGTACAACGAAGGATTCATCATGCTGGCAGGGTCTCCCAAGCTGAGAATGAGTTCGACGTTTCCATCAGGAAGCCTAGCTAAGAGTAATCCAATGCCAGGGTCCACCACCGTCCTGGTATCAAAGTTGCATGGTGGCAAATCTCCCTGTGATCCACGAGGGTTGCGACTGCCTGTGGTGGTGACGACGTTGGCAGACGTTAGCCAGACTGACCTCGGGATTCCAGGAAACCACAATGGGTTAACCAGCAAATCTCCGAAAAATGGTGATAATGCTGGGGTCCGCGCAACAAATGAGGTTAGGCCGTTCAAGTACCAAGTGTGTTACACGTGAAATGTAGTACATATAACGCAGTATTTTTATTACTACGAAATATTTTAGGCGAACAACAATGAAGATACATCTTTGTTTTCTCCCTTTTTTGAGTTTATCCTGAGTTTGTATATAACCTTCTGCGCTCCTAAATTTTCCCCTGTTTATTATACCTAAAAAAGTGGGCTCATCAAGAATATTACTAGGAAAAATTCGAATGATGTAGAATGAAAGAAGAATTTTCTCACTAACGCCGTTTAAGTTGCCAAACCAACTTAGCCGTTACCACAGCCTTGACATGTATATCTTTTAGGATGTTGAAGGTTGGAAGGAGTTTTATATCAGTAGACGAATCGTTTCTATAGTGCTTTGCCATTATTTTTGCCGTGAAATATTCAATACGTTATTGAATGCCTTATGCTAGTGAAACAGGAATAATTTAAGAAAGATTCTTTAGCAATCTGCTGTCTGCTGATGGCGTCAGGTAGCCTTTCATTGGAGATGCAGTCACTAGTGGCAGCACCGGTCACATGCCTAGTGCTGTTCGAATTCGCCACCGCCATGTTGCTCATCATCGGTGTCCTCATTGATGCGTACTATTTGATGATGCCGTTTGTGTTGAATACGGTCAGTTAGAAAAACAATACCGTAGCTGCGTAAGAGAAGGCCTTTTATAGCGGAGTAATTAGCCGTCCCCTGCAATACACACGAGGTCACTGGTTCGAGGCGTTTGGTGCTAACTAAGTCTGTTCTATCTTTTCGGGATTTATGAGGTAAAACCTAATTTTCCAAGGAGGATAAAAGCGTTGATTCCATAGGTTAGACGAATCACAGATATCATTATCCGTGCCAAATATGTATCCACTCTTCCGCGTGATGCCTAAAGGAACCGAAATGTTTGACCTCGAGGATGAATCAGAGCCTAAGGCTTTATTCTTTAGCACGGTTATGACATACTTACATCGTGAGTTGTTCTATGACTGCGCCTGAATTTCTTTTTCATTTTCCATACATTTTTGTCAATAGCATCGTTGCGAACAGATGCAGTGAATGTTGAACAAGCAGGAAAGAAAACAGAAAGATATAAAATATACAATATCCAGCTTTTCGTTGGGGTTTCCACTAATATGAATGAAATCCTTGTGTTGAGGTTTCAGGTGGTTAACGTTTGTCTCGCCCTCGGTGTCGCCGTTGTTGTGGTCAATTCCTCGGGAAAAATTCGATTACTCTATGGTCCTTATGTGAGTTTTCATTTCGTGCTGTTCTCGCGGGCTTTTTTAAGATTTAACTGTCTTACACAGATAACATTATATATAGGCATTGTGGAAGTATTCAAGTAGTTATTTGTTTTCAAAGAGGAAGCTCTGCGTGACATCATGACTAATGTTTTTACCCCCTGTTTCCCACAGTTTTGCTTCATTTTTGTTCCATTATTTTTGTCCACAAATTTGAATTTGAGGTGGTGCCTACTTATTTACATGTTCTAATAAACTGTTCTTGTTGAGCTGATGCGAGGTTGGTATAAATTATGTGAACAACAACAGCAACAACAACAACAACAACAACAACGGGAAATTATGCCAACCTCACATCAGCTCAACAAGATCAGTTCATAGGGATATATAAATGAATATGTCGCTTATTTATGCCGACGTTTATGGAAAGTCACTCTTTTGAGTTGTTAATAGAAGCCTACTTAGTTGAATCCTTCTACTCCTTGTCTTCACGAGTCCAACGAACATTTTCTTGTAAGTGTCGTTTTCTTGTTCAGCAATCGCGAGGTTTTTAAACAGCATACATTCGCAATTGCTGAACAAGAAAACGACACATTCATATTCCAATGCCGAGGTTAAGAGAAAGTCGATCCTGGGAACTATTTTCTTGTAACTTCTTCCTATAACGAGCGCCGTTTGTTGTAGTGGTTACCTGCTCCGAGTGTGGCATGAGTACAATCTTGTAGCGTGGTTGATCTCTACATGTACTGCAAACAATCCAGCACTTATTTCATTCGCTTCATTGTCTTGCATCCGTCATCCACGAATGCTTCGGTTTTCCGTCCCGGTTTGGCTACACTTCACGATGCTGTTTTTCGAGAGCTACTGGGCGAGCAGATCGGAATCTCGAAAATATTCTAGAGCCCTTCCAGGTCGTCAATTCCCAAGCTATGAATACTAAATGGAGCTTTTCTGCAACAACTCAGGAAGCAATTTTCCAACTCTGAAGATATGGGAGGTTTAATTGGGACAGCGAGTAATTAAACAAAAGATCTGTTAGCATTGAACCTACTCTAACTACTTTCAGAGTCTATAAGGATTTTTTAAAATTTGCACAACCAATCTTTCGCATCTTCTACTGTGCAGATTTCAGCATTTCTTGCATTCGATTCGTTTCCTAGCATCCATCACCACAAAAATCCTCTAATATGAGTGGGGATTTCGTGTTCTTTTAATGAATGTCGTAGAACGCTGGTCGATTCGATTCTCCCTGGAGCCATGAGATAGCCGTGTTAAGGTGTTCGCACTTAGAATGGAGAGAGCGATCTTTTCGCAGATGGGGCTGGGCACTACTACAGCGCTACTGACCCATTATGTTGGAATGAAGCCAACAGTGAAGCAAAACTAATGTTACTACAACGATACCGAGATGCAACCACAACGATGCTGAGTTATTTGCAAAACTCGGGACCGCAGATGTTTGCGGTGGGGAATGAACGTGCAATTACACTTTTCCGGAGCTAACGCTCACCACCACACCATGTAAATCCTTCGTTTCGACTTCTTCTCATCTAGTTTTCCGTGGTTTTGCAAATATCTCAGCATCACTGTAGCTGCATCTCACGTACTACCCTACCGTGAAAAATTCCAGTAGGCAATAAATAATAATGTGACTACAACCACAACGTTGCTGAGATATTTGCAAAACTCTGGACCGCAGGTGTCTATGGTGGGGAACGAACGCGCTATTGTCCTTTCCGGGGAGTAGCGGTCCAGAGTTTTGCAAATATCTCAGCAGCGTTGTGGTTGTATTTCGCTTAGTACCTTGCCGCGAAATAATAGTAGGCAGAAAATAAAAGGTATAACACTGTGATTTCAACTACAGCCGCAGCTTAACTGGGTTCTATGCCGATTTGGGCGCCCCAGATCAATCCCGCTGACGGGTGATTGCTGTGGCAAAGATCGATAGAAATAGCTGAGAGACAGGCGAAACAAAGGACCCGCATGGTGTGGTGGTGAACGCGTTACTCCCCGGAAAGGACAATAGCGCGTTCGTTCCCCACCGTAGACACCTGCTGTCCAGAGTTTTGCAAATATCTCAGCAACGTTGTGGTTGTATTTCGCTTAGTACTCTGCCGCGAAATAATAGTAGGCAGAAAATAAAAAGGTATAACACAATAATGTGACTGTTTGCCATCATCTAGGAATTCAGTGCTGCTTATTTCGTCGTCGTATTCTTGAAAAATGCGCGAAACAATTCAAAAGAGGTGGATCGTTTGTGGTCTTTCAATTTACTGGTGATGCGATTCTCATTGAGCAAAGTAAAAAGGTTCTAGGAGCCAGGCAAATTAGCTAATACTCGCCACTTTTGTGTAAACCTCATTTTAGTGAAGTACCACGATCGGCTTTGTGCTTCGGAAATTTGCTCATCATGTAACTGTAACAGGTAACAGGTAGAAAAAGTGAAACAAGGAATGAATAGTGGAGGTATGATATCCACACCTTCTGCTTTCATCCCGTCACTTTGACTTTCCACAATAGGATTTCTACGTTTTCCTCTGTTTATCTTCTAAGCAGTTTGCCTATACGGTTCCAAATATTCCTTACGAGGCCGTTCAAAATGTTTTGCCTAGGTAAACTTTGACAAAAATGCTAAAAATATCCTGATCTTATCTTCGCAGCCGCTTAGTTTTGACTCCTCAAGGGTAAAACTCTCAATCTCGCATGGTGCCATTATGTTATCAATTGTCAGTGACCGAATCAGATCTTAATCTCTCAAAAGAAGATTTATATAGACTGGTGCCTGCTTTATTTGGGAAAGGTAAATCAATTCGGTCTATAACAGACAAGTAGTCCACTCAACGAGTCTACTGCGGTCTTAGTGCAACGAGGGTTGCTCCGCAAAGCTTCACAGACGACCGAATAGAAACCTCGATAAGTACAGAGATTTGGAGTATATGAAGAGAAACCTAGCCAGATTTTAGCAGATTATCAAACGATTGTTCTTATTACAGTTTTCTTTGCAGATTGTTACTGGTTGTTTTCTGGTAATTATTCTCTATGTGTGGTTTACGTCTGTAGTGGGCTTGACAATTGTATTTATACGAGACCAGAAAAGACGCAGGTAAGTGTGCAAGCAAACACAACCTTTTTTTTTCTTCACTGGCTGTTTCTAAAAAAAGCAGGAAGTGCAGTGATTGAGATGCCGCGAAATAATACTGCATGGTCGCTGGTTCGATTCCACAGTAGACCAATCAGACACCCCTGCTATTGCAAATTTACAGTATGCTTGTCTGGAAAGACTTACTTTTCACCAATGAAACCAAATACCTGCCTTTGTGGTGAGCAGACTTGTGACCACCTTCTATATAAGTGCGGATGATAATAACTCGCCCTAACAATTTGTGTTCACGATTAAAAATGATTTACGGATCTCCTAATGGTACTCACAAGTATCACAATCCTTCAGACAGGCGAACTGGTGAAGTGGTAATAGGGCGAAGTGAATGGAAAACATACTGAAACTCACTCCATGCCTGAACGCCGACCATCTAAATATTATGAAAGTTCACTAAGAGCTCCTCGCGATGATAATTCGCCGCACATACAGGTATTGGCTTAATCTAGGACCAATCGTGAACAAAATCCCGAATGCATTTTACTCCATGAGTCACATCGTAGTCATAGCTTGGATATTGTAATCCACAAATACAAGCATTCAGTTTTTAAAAACTATTCACATGTATCACCTGTAGTTCCGTTGGTCGTCGAGTGACTCGAGCGAGTGCCTGTAAATCTTCCATTTTTCCCTGTCGCGTGCAAGAGTAGCCCAGTGGGTTTTGATAACTCTAGGGACTTGTTGAGCATCTTATCTTTCTCTAGGTTTTTCGCAAAAAACTCCGACTATCGGGTGGGTGGGTTCTTGCAGTGCGTTTGACATCTGAAGAAATCTAGTCACTAACGGCTGTTCTCCATCGGTTGCCGTTCACACGCATTACGTGTCCGGCCCACCTTATCTTCGACTGTTTGGCGAACTGAACGGCATTTTTGATTTTTGATCGTTGACGCAGGCTGGAGCTTAACATCGTCTTTTCGCCTGCGCGTTCAATAACGCTGAATGACCTTTCATCCCACTTACGCTGCGACCAGGTTTCTGCCGCATGCGTTAACGCAGGAAGTGCCGTTGAATCGAAAAGGTGGGGCATCGAGTGTTTTTCGTTCTCCTTATTACATCCTCGATGCTCTTGAAAGCTCTCCAAGCCGCTTGTTTTCTTCCGCTCAGCTCTGGAACTAAGTCGTCCATCACATTGATTTTCCGACCTAGATAGATATAACTGGAGCATTCGGAAATATTCGTTCCATTGAGCGTGAATGGGACATGCATGCGAAACTAATCCGTTCTTCATGAACATCGTTTTTGTGAAATTTAGTCGAAGACCAATCTTTCTACAGGCTTTATCAAAGTCGTCAAGCATACGTTTCGCTTGGCTAATGTTTGGTGTTATAAGGACGATGTCATCAGCAAAGCGAAGATGGTGTAACTGCCGACCATCGATTTTCACTCCCGTATTATCTCATTCCAATGTTCGCATGGCGTTTTGGAGGGTGGCGGCAACTAGTTTTGGCGAGATCGAATCGCCTTGCCTAACCCCTCTTCTGACGTCGATGTTAACATCGCTGTAGAATGGTGATATTGTGGTTGTGAAATTTTTGTAAAGCTTACGAAGATTCTTTTTGTAGTGAGTATGAACACTTTGACTATCAATGGCTTCCAGAACTGCTTCTATCTCAACTGAATCAAAGGCCTTCTGTAGATCGATGAAAATGAGACAGAGCGGTCTTTTGTACTCTTGCGATACTTCAACGAGCCTCGCTATCGTGTAGACGTGCTCCATCGTACGAAATCCTTTTCGAAACCCTGATTTCTCATATGGATGCCCTTCGTTAAGTGTTTTGTTAATCCCGTTTAGGATGACTCGAGTGAAATGTTTGTAGACGACAGACAGCAAGCAGATTGGACGATAGTTGTCGATGTCGTGGAAGTCGTCCTTCTTAAGCATTAGCACGGTCTTGCTGGTCATCCACTGAGTAGGGACCTTACATTCAGACAGGTAACATATGAAAAG